TCTACATATATAAAATCTATTGTCTGTAGGTATGACATAAGAGAATGTATAATACTAAACCTTTACAGTCCCAACTAAAAGCATGCATATTCTCCATACTGTTCTCTAAACATTTCCCGAGGTGCTGACAAGGAGAATTTTTTAAACAATCTGGAGCTAATTTAGTACATGTAGGTGATCATTTCCTTTATTCTCCTGACCTTAGTGAGTGATTCAGGGATGATATCGTAAGGAGAAATTAGATGCTGGTCACTCTTAGAGGTTTAACTGTTAAGAATTTAAGAATTTAAGAACTTAAGAATTCTGCGACCAAAAATGCACCTTTTGTTTTCTCCTCAGAGGTTGCAATTACTTACCCTAAGTAACAAATTTGCCAAATCTTAAGGCAAAACTCCATCAAGAGGTAATATTATTTTCCCTGTAGATTCGCGATCTAAACGGCCGCCATTCTTCGAACTACAGAACTCCGCGCGAAGAGGAAGAAACTGGGTCGAGAACGGAAGTGACATCAATGACTCAAAAAACGTGGCTAATTTGGTATGCTGAGAGAGAGTTGTTTTTCTGGTTCCGCAGGAAAGAAGGAATAAAATTCTAAAGAATTGTTCCCCAGCTTTCTTTTGCATATTTCTCGTAAAGGCATGCCTTCGCGACGTTGTCGAAGTGAGTCGATGACACCACAACTAAAACCGCTGTAGTTATTTTCGAGGGCTATCCAGTGTGTTATTCGAGCAATGGCGGAAGAATTTTTAATGTCTTCGTGGCGCTGTTTTTAAGGAATAACATTGTCAAATTTGAGAAACTTACGCTTATAGTTTAGGGTCTAAATGTGAAGTTAACACCAGAAAATTGGGAAAATAAATCGCAAAAATTTCGTTGCAGTAGCACTTTAAGAATTTAATTTGTTCGCCACGGGATTGGCAGGAGAAAGGAACAGAACTTTTGTCCCAATTGACATCTAACCCCTTTGTACCCACCATTCCACCCCAGGGAGGACATTCACCACACAGTAGTCTTGTGTATGGGAAATTAACATCTACCCCTAACCCTGCAGGAGACGGGACCTACGGTTTTATTCGTCCTTATCTGGGAAGATTGGAATATCTATCCATTTCTTGATATTATAGAAAGGTAGCAAATTCTCCTCGGTTATTTTAAAACCATGAGTATTGATCCGGCCGGGGCTCGAACCCTTGACCTCCCGCACAACACAATTTGGCGCTCTCACCAATTGAGCTAACTGTGGGGTGGTGATTCCAAAGATCTCAATAGTAATACTCCTTACAGTCTGCCATACAATTCTTATGATGTTTGGAGAATTTAGTCTTCAATCCACCAATAATCCCCTCATCAATATTTTTCTTTATTCTCATCACTTAACTGCTTGATATTGTATTGATACGGTAAGGAGAAATTCTGTCTTGGTCACTCCAGGAAGTGAAAGGGTTAAAGGATTATTATTAAAAACTGGATCATTGGATAATGCAATTCAAGACTTTTTATTGGCTTAGCCATTATGGTATATGAGTCAATATACCATAATCTAATTATCTGTACATTGTAACATCCGGTTTCTTCTTACAAAATAAAGCAGAGAAGATTTGTCTAATATCTTGGGGGCGTTTTTTTTAAATAAAACAATTATTCCACTTGCGCTTGTTGGATATGAGATGATTATAGCCAACTAGGTGCCACGCGCCTCATTGGCTATCTATCATCTCATATCCAATGTGCACTCTTGGAATAATTGTTAATTACTAGAATAAGATATATCACTACTTTCATATTTCATCCAAGGTGTGAGTGCTACTTACAAATGATGCTGACTCCTAACAATATGTATGTAGGATCCACAGCGGCACCACGATACAATGACAGAATAATTGTAATCTGTCAAACCAAATAAATGCATAAAAATCTTATATTAAA